CGGGAGGCCAAGGAGGGTGGATCATCTGAGATCAGGAGTTCCAGAGCAGCCTGGCCTACATGGTGAAACCCCATCTCTATTAAAAATACAAAAATTAGCCGGTCATGGTGGTGCGCACCTGTAATCCCAGCTACTCGGGAGGCTGAGGCAGGATAACCACTTGAATCCAGGAGGCGGAGGTGGCAGTGAGCTGAGACCACACCACTGCACTCCAGCCTGGGTGACAGAGTGAGACTCTTGTCTCAAAAAACAAACAAACAAAAACTACAAGGCTGCAGTCAGTATTAAACCAACGTTCAAAGTTCTACTCTGTGAAATTAGATACATTTAAACAACTAAAGAGCTTTAAACAAGTAAACAGTTGAAGAGCTAACAGTGAAAGCAACTATTAATATTTCCCAAAACTACCTTTTGTTACATCATTAAAATATATGTGATCACAAATCCCAACATGCAACAATGAGCTACTTTTTCAAAGAATCAGGCCAGGTGTGGTAGCTCAGGCCTGTCATCCCAGCACTTTGGAAGGCTGAGGCAAAAAGGCTGTGTGAGCTTAGGAGTTCCAGACCAGCCTGGGCAACATGGTGAAACTCTGTCTCTACAAAAAAAAATACGAAAATCAGCTCAGTGTGGTGGCACACACCTGTAGTCTCAGCTGCTCAGGGGGCTGAGGCTGGAGGATCACTTGAGCCCAGGAAGTTGAGGCTGCAGTGAGCCACGATTGTGCCAGTGCACTTTATCCTGGGTGACAGAGCAAGACACTGTCTCAGAAGAAAAAAAAAAAAAAATCAGCCAGGCTCATGGCTCACCCCTGTAATCCCAGCAACTGGGAGGCTAAAGGCTGGAGGATGCCTTGAGGTCAGGAGTTCCAGACTAGCCTGGACAACATAGTGAGACCTCATCTTTAAAAAGATTGTTTTAAAACTGAAACAAAAAAATCAAATCTTAAGCCAGGCATGGTGGTGCACACCTGCAGTTGCAGCAACTTGGAAGGCTGAGGTGGGAGTTTGCAGTCAGCTATGATCCTAGCACGCCCCAGTCTGGGCTATGGAGTGAGACCCTGTCTCAAAAAAGGAAAGAAAAGAAAAAAAAACTTTGCAAAGACTCCATAGTCAACCTAATCTGGAGCAGCTCTTTATATAAACGGCTTGTGTAAAAGCAATCTTAAAAATAAATGTTTTGATAATTAGAAGACTATCCTGGATATTTATCACTAAAGTTTGCTTTAAAGTGTTTAATACCTTCATATGCTCAAGAAGAAAGAGAGAGAGAATGAGAGACAGAGAGAGAACAAACAAAGAAAAAAGATGGGGGGGGAGGAAGCACATTTTTCATGTCTCCAGGAAAGAACACTTACCACTGAGCACTTCATGCTAGAGGACCATAAATTTAAAGAATCAAATGGATGGGTCACCTCACTTGATGACACACAGAGACCACTGAGGCCACTTAATGCTAAACCCTGAGCCAACAGTGCTGTTGAAAAACTAAGAAAGCCCAGACAGGCTGCATTTCAGTCCCTGTAGAAACGTCTAGGATATATCAGGAACAGCCAATAGTGGCACCAAGATAAAATATGACAGGAGTGACTTCCAGCTTCAGCAGGCACCATTCAAACTGAGTCCAACACTCTATTCTCACACAGAGTAGCTTTGCAGAGGCACACTCCTCTTAGAGCACAACAGGCAAAGTCATAGCAAGCTCTGAGTCATCCAAATGCTTCCAAATGACTAGCCTATGGTTCCTTCACTCAGAAACCAAACCTGACCAGCAGACACTCAGAAAAGTCCAACAAGCCAATTTTCCCAATTATATTTAAGCAAGTCTGCTCCACGCTTCCTTCTTTTCTCAGCAGAATATCTCATTCTCTTACTTGCAGAGATAAAGACAGAGTGGACACTCTCGCTTCCTCCATCTAACCAAACAAAACAAAACTCATACTGGGGTGACTGAGATGTCATGCCTAACAGGAAAAAAGAAATGAAAAGAAGAGCATTCGGCTGGGCATGGTGGCTCACACCTGTAATCCCAGCACTTTGGGAGGCCAAGGCGCACAGATCACGAGGGCAGGAGGTTAAGAGCATCCTGGCTAACACGGTGAAACTCTCGTCTCTACTAAAAATACAAAAATTAGCCGGGCATGGTGGCATGCCTGTAGTCCCAGCTACTCGGGAGTCTGTAGCGGGAGAATCACTTGAACCCAGGAGGTGGTTGTTGTAGTGAGCCAAGATCCTGAGACTGCACTCCAGCCTGAGTGACAGAGTGAGACTGTCTCAAAAACAAACAAACGAACAAAAAGAAACAACGGCTTTCAATCAGCAGAGAAGCTAAGTCAGTGTGATTTAGATCGGCACCCCAGCCTCAAGGACAAGCAGATTGAATGCACCAACTTATACCGGGTACACCTCTTGAGTGCTAGGGATAAAAACCATAATGGTCTGATTCACCGAACCCAAGGATGGCACAGTCCAGGAGCCTGAAGGTTTGGGACATTCTGACAAATAGCAAATCTGAAGGAGGGAGTAGGAATGGATTTGCACCCTCAAGGAAAGGTAAGTTGTCCCAGGCAGGGTTGGGAGGGCACTCCTGGCAGGGCCAAGCACAATGGGAGCAAAGTCCCGAAGGAGGGACTCCACAGGGTACATTGCCCAACAGTGGGAAGGGCAGCGAAAGAAGCCTTGAGAGAGAATGCTGATGAAGACAGGTTGAACCAGATTAGAGGAACCTTGGAAGTTACGCTCAGACTTTATCCTGCTGACCATGAGAGGCTTCCAAGCAGGGAGGTGACATAAATGTAAGCAAGGAGGTGACATAAACAACAGTGAATTTTAGGAATAAGCAACAGAGATTTCTCTCTTCAGTTAATTTATCCTAACTATGGGTCCTTTTGTCAAACCCTGAGCAACCAGAATCTATGCCTGGTGAAATAAGTGTTCCGCATTATATCCTGGGACAATTTGCCTAACACCTAGGCCCTAGCAATGCAATCCAAATATTTTACCTCCCCCCACACACACACTGTATATACACACACATTTCCATATATATGTGTGTGTATAAAAAATATATGTATATACATTTTATATACATATAAAAATATATGTTATATATGGTGGTACATGTATATAATATATAATTATGCATATATGTATATTATATATACATACATTATGTAATTATATATACATAAAATTATATATTTCTGTGATAGGGTCTCATAATATCACCCAGGCTGGAGTGCAGTGTCGTGACGGTGGCTCACTGCAACCTCAACCTCCCAGGCTCAAGCGATCCTCCCACTTCAGCCTCCTCAGTAGCTAGAACCACAGGCACAGATAACCACACCCAGCTACATTTTTTTCATATTTATTGTAAAGATGGGAGTTTTGCTATGTTGCCTTGCTGGTCTCGAACTCTTGGGCTCAAGGAATCCTCCTGCCTCTCCCACTCAAATTGTTGGGATTACAGACATGAGTCACTGCACCTGGCCCAAATGTTCTTCTTGACTGGTAAGTGATGCAGTAAACTGACTCCAGAACATAAAAACAAAAAATTTAAAACGTATTATACTTGCTCCTAGGTCTATGGCAAGAAAAACCACGTTTTTGAAACATGTTTACACCAATTAGCTCAACTCAATAGTTTTGGAAAGAACTTTTAATCCTGTTAAAATTAGAGTTGATAACATTTCTGCAGCTCTTAGGCACTGTTAAATATGCTTTCACCTAGGGGCCAGGTGAGTTGGCTCACGCCTGTAGTTCCAGCACTTTGGGAGGCCAGGGCGGGCAGATCATCTGAGGTCAGGAGTTTTGAGACTAGCCTGATCAACATGGCAAAACCTGTTTCTACTAAAAATACAAAAATTACCCAGGTGTGGTGATGCAAGCCCGTAATCCCAGCTACTCGGGAGGCTGAGACAGGAGAATTGCTTGAACGCAGAGGCGGAGGTTGCAGTAAGCCGAGATTGCGCCACTGCTCTTCAGTCTGGGCGACAGAGCCAGACTCAAAACCAAACCAACCAAAAAAAAAAAAAAAAAAAAAAAAAAAATAGAAAAGAAAAGAACCCTGAGGCTGAAGCAACATCTCTACCCATTTCTGAGGTGCAACTATGGGAGAGACTAAGATTCTAAAAGTAACCTAAGAGCAAAGAAGAAAATGTTTTTTGAATTCAGGGAAAACAAAGAATAATAATAAATATGTAAAGGATCACAACCTAAAAAATATATAGCAAATATGAGGCTGTTAAAAAACAAAACAAAGCAAAACCAAAAAACCGCGACTCCTGGCTACAGAGTTGAAAAGCCCCTAGACACGTTACGTATCTCTTAATTGAGACTCCACTTCATTGGCCAGTGAAGTGAGGAAAAACAGGACCTCGGTAAGGGAATAAAGTCAAAGATTAAATTACAAACAGGCCAGATGAATGGACCTGAGAGGAAGTGATAAAATTCTCAACACACTCAGTCGTGTTTATGGTAGCGAATCACCCCAGTCTAACTACCATTGTAATCACCCGACTCGGGGCAGAAGTCTTCCCACCGGACCTCAACAACCTCACTTCTTGATAAGAAGCTAAAGGAGCCTGACTTTCCACCTGGGTCAAAACCCCCGCAAATCCATTGTTAGGGATCCAAAGCACCACCACCAGCAACCCCTGCGCACAAGCCAGGGGCTCTCCAGCACGGCTGTTTTGAATGCCAAGTGCCCAGCACGGGACCTGGCACCGTTTCCTTAATAAACTGTCCTTTTCTGGTCTCCAGGATGAAACTCAGGATCCGGAAGGCAGCCTTACACCCTCTCCAGACAGGCTCCGTTAAGGGATGAGTGCGCACAAACAGCCCCAGGGGCCAGCCGCCCCCTTCCCATGCCACAACTTCCTGTCCCTTCCATCACCTCCACACCGCGACTCTAGTTTCCATCCAATTCACAACTGTCATCAAGATCCCAGTCCCTGGAGGAAAGAGGGGAGGGCGGCTTTCCACCCCCAACTCCTCACTTACGGGCGTCTGAGAAGAACCTACGAAAAGGGAGGCCAGAAAGCACTGGGACCATGAGCGCCACTCCCTGTGCCGACCCGGGCTGGCCACCTACTCCAGGGTGAAACTCGCGCTGGGCGAACGGGGGCAAGCCACAGGGCTGCGGCCCCAAATGAGCAGCAGGCGCGCCCCCCTCGCGTTGACGTTTCTCCGGTGTGAAGTGCCTGAGCTTGGGATGCAGGCGAGGGATTACGGTCCCGAAGCTCAGCGGCACTTGGAACTACTCGGAGTCCCCACACCCTGGGCGACTTTCCCAGCAGCGCTCCCGGGAAAGGGCTCCGACCGACCCTGGCTCCCAGAGCTGCGCAGCGGGCAGGGCAGCGGGGTCGAGCCCCGGCCGGGGTCCTCCGCCGGGCTCTCCGCAAGCCTGGCAGGGCCGCTGCCGGCGAACTTGGCCGGGTGGGCCGGGCCTGGACGAAGTGGGGCGCGCACTCACCAACCCCGTACTTCTGCCTCTTGGTCGGGATCCAGCGGGCCATGGCGGCGACCTCGCCCCGCGGCTGTGGAGCGGCGACTGAGGCGGCTACAGCTCCTCAGGCTCCGGCCGCCGCGGCGCTGCGCTCCTGCGTGCCCCGGGCGCTTCCGCCATGTTCCGCCAAACTTCGCTGGACTCCGCGGGCCGCCTCCCCGCCGCACCGCCCGCGCCCGTGCCCGCGCCGCCCGCGGTCACCTGCTGGGCCGGGCGGCCGCGCAGCCGTGCGCGCCCCTCCCGGCGCCGCCCCGGCCCCTCCCGCCGGCCGCGCCCTCCGTCCGCCTGGGCCGCCTCCGAGTCGCGGGCGCCCGGCCTCTCCCGCCTGCGCCGCTCTCTGCGCTCTGCCGGGCGGGGGCCGACGGCGGCTCCGCCTCGCGCGCTTCCCAGGAGCGGCTTCCCCGGCCGGCGGGGCTCTGGCGCTGGCGGCGTGTTGCCTTTCCTCCGCCCTCCCCACCCGGCTGATACCCGGAGACTGGGTCCCGGGGGTCCGGCTCCGGACAGAGGGCTGCTCTGGAGGCGCCGGGCACACCCAGGCAGGCCGGGCGGCGAGGAGTGCGGGCTGCGCTCCCACAGCGCGCGCCGGGCCCTTGGGGAGCGGAAAGGATCAGCGAGAGCCGCTTCTTGCCCCGGGGCACCGCCAGTGCCTGGCACTCAGCGGGCGCGCAATAAATATTTGTTGAATGAATGAGCAGTTGACCGCTGCCTTCATCCCCTCCGGAAGCCAGACTCGGAGTAGACTGGATCTCCCGAGACCACCGTTTAGAGCCTGGAAAGCAGAACGTTTATCAGCCAGAGAACGAGTGCGAGGGAGGCGTTCTCCTCAGAAGTATCGGGCCGTTTCCTAGGGGATCCTCTGCAGGGAAGTTGTTTAGAAAGCCCTAATTTGGAAGTCCTGTATCAACAAACTCCGGGGACCACCCCCTCAACCCCAAGCTGAGGAAATTTAGACCTCATGCCCAGGGGAAAGTTCACCCCGAGACCTCCCTCTCCCAACCAGCCAGCAGCCCAGAGAGCATCCCCGTCTGTTTTCCGTCACCGACTGCCTTTTCCTGAGGAAGATCCCAAGGCTGGGGCTGCGGATTTGAACTGTCTTGGGCTCCAGGTGGCGCCCTCTCTGGAGCTCCCCTCTATGAATTCACTGTTTCCTGGAGAATGAAAATCCAGGGTTTGTTCCACTACCTTGTTTAGAAGTAACATTGCAACTGGAGTCAATGACCAACTTAATTACATTCGTCATCGAAGAAGATGCCTCTAGAGAGAAATTATATCCTCCTTGCAGTCTGCGAAGGTTTTCAAGCGTTTTTGGAACATGCAAGAAAGGAAAACAAACGTAGTAAAGACAGGTAGTAAAAATATACAAAACAGTAAAGTTTCACTGCACAATTAGTGCATTTTAACTTTGGTGGTTTTTTTTAAAGTCCTAGTCACGGTGCGTAACTACTAGAGCTGGCTTTTCTTCTTCATCAACCAATAGGTATTTATTCACAATGATTAACGATAATTTAAGAAATTCCTGTGACACCCGGAAAGAATTCCACCATCTTCCCCAAAATAATTTCTCTTCCTCCATCAGTATATCATGATTCTAATTTCCCAGGTTAGGTCATTTCTTTTTCCTTCTTCCCGCAAATATTAGGTGCCTACGCATTAAGTGCCAGGCATTGCTCTAAGAATGGGGGTGCAACGGTGAGTACAGTAAAATATCTGCCTTCACAAAGATTCCAGTCTAGACGGGGAGAGAAGACAATAAGGAAACGTACAGCAAACGAGGGTAAGCCTTAGAGGAAAATCGGAAGCAGGGAGGATAGGACGTTCAAGGTGCTGCTGTTTAGATGGAGAGGGCTGGGAATGCAGGTCTGCTAAGCTGAGGTTGAGGTGTAGACCTGAAGGAAGTAAAGATTCCAGGGGAAAGGATTCTGGAAAAAAAGGAACAGCAAATGCAAAGGACACCAAGCGGGTTTGGCAGGTTCCCAAGTCAGGAAGGAATTCTGGGTGGTGATAGCTGAGTAACAGGTGAGAGGAAACTTGGTGTCAGAGGCAGGGGAGTGCCAGATAGAACAGAACCCTGGCAGGCATATGGACTTTGTATATCACCACTACAAGAGAGGTTCGGAGGGCTTGGAGCCAAGCTGGGACATGTTGAACTTGCCTGCTGTGGTGATTCCATTGTAACCGGGCAAAGGAAGTCCCCATGGATGGAGGTGGGTGGTTAGTTCAGTTATTCAGGCAAGACATGAAGGTAGTTGGGTCCAGGAGGATAGGGGTGGAGGGGAAAAAGAAGTTGGGTTCTTGACACAAGTGAAACTAGAACCTGGCCAGATGTGGTGGCTCACACCTGCAATCCCAGCATTTTGGGGAGGCTAAGGTGGGAGGATCGCTTAAGGTCAGGAGTTCAAAATCAGCCTGGGCAGCATAGTGAGACCCTCCTCTACTGTATATATATGTTGGGCTTGGTGGCTTTGCCTGTGGTCCTATCTACTCAGGAGACTGAGGTGGGAGAATTGCTTGAGCCCAAGAGGTCAAGGCTAGCAGTGAGCTATGACTGCATCACTGCACGAAAAAGAACCAACAGAAGGGCCACATGAACAGCAGGGGGATTCACCCCTGTGAGACTTCTAACGCTCTCAGTATGCTTCAGTCTCTTTTTTTGGAAAGTTTTCCCCTAGAAAGAGTTATACTTGCATTTTTTTAAGAGCCCTACCCCTATTGTACACACATCAGGGCCCACTCCCCTTGGTTTTTGCCCCTGAATGCGAGATACAACCTGGGTCAAGAATGACTCTTAAGCCACTAGGTGGCAGGTGCCTGTCATCCCAGCTGCTCGGGAAGCTGAGGCAAGAGGGCTGCTTGAGCCCAGGAGTTCCAGGCTGCAGTGAGCTATGCCGATCAGGTGTGTGCACTAATTTTCACATCAATATGGTGACATCCTGGGAGCAGGTGACCACCAGGTTGCCTCAGGAGGGGTGAACAGACCCAGGTCAAAATTGGAGTGGGTCAATTATTTGGAAAGCCCTAATTTAGAAGTCCTATATCCTGAAACTCCAGTTCTCCTCCTTAGCTGAAGAAATTTAGGCCTACACATCGAGGGGAAAATATCCACCCCAAAACCTCCCTATTTTAACCGGCCGTCAGCCCAGAGAGCATCCCTGTGTAGAAAGGGACCGGATGCATCCTTGTCTTTTCTTTCCTTCTTTCTCTCTTTTTATTTTTTTCTTTGAGATGGAGTCTTGCTCTGTTGCTCAGGCTGTAGTAAAATGGTGCAATCTTGGCTCACTGCAACCTCCGCCTCCCAGGTTCAAGTGATTCTCCTGCCTCAACCTCCTGAATAGCTGGGAATACAGGCACACACCACCACACCTAGCTAATTTTTGTGTTTTTAGTAGAAACAGGGTTTCATTACCTTGGGCAGGCTGGTCTGGAGCTCCTGACCTTGTGATCCGCCCACCTGGGCCTCCCAAAGTGCTGGGATTACAGGCAAGAGCCACACACCCAGCCATCCTTGTCTTTTCTCTGTCACCAACTGTATTTTCTTGACAAAGATCCTGTAGCCAAGACTTCACATTTGAACTACCTTGGGCTCCAGGTGGCACCTCCCTCTTGAGCTCCCTTTCTGATCAATAATGGGATGGCACCTGTGAATTGCCACTATATTTCAGCTTGGACGTAGCAAGACCCTGCCTCTAAAAAAATTAATTAAAAACAAAAAGAATGACTCTAAGGTTTGGGGCTTGGACAACTAGTGAGTAGAGTTGCCATTGTCTTGGTCACCATTGATACCTGCCTTGTCTTTACCCTTTCCTGTCCCAGTTGCTCGATTGAAGTTTTCCTTTCAATATTTCTTTAGGACTCACTTCTTTACACCTTCTTCAGCAACTTCTCCATGTGGCCCCTTAAGAGATAAAGCACTCTGCACTGGATTATATGACCTGCCTGTTGTGGATTCAGAGCTTCTCAAAGGTACATGGGCTCTCTGTGCTCAGGGAAAGTGGATGACCTCCGTTCTCTGACCATGGTATATTTCAAATTTAATATAGATCAGAATGTTCATGCTCTTATCCAGCGGAACTGGGTTTCTGCCAAAGCGATTTCAACCACCTCATCCCACGCTTGCACTGAAGTCTTCTTTTTCCAATACTTGAGGTTTGATTTGGGGCACTGGAGATTTCAGATTTGCCAACAATTGCTTCAAGACAGTTGGAGGAAAATGGAAAATTTTAATTACAGCTTTCAGTATGTTTATCTTTTCCTTCTGAAAAACTGAAATCCACTCACTTTGCTATATCAGATGGCTAAATGCCAGTTTGAATATCCTTTCAAATCATAAAAGCAGAGCTATTCAAAGTCATTTATTAGAATGAGGCTTAAAATTAGAGAGTCAACCAGACAGGTAGTTGGAATGACAGCATGATGCCCAGAAATATCCTTTTCTTTTCCCTCTGATATCTTTTCAGAAGAAGCATTAAACATATTCCACAATCAGAGATCTTCAGACTCCAAAACCCCCACAAATACAAACACACTTATGCCTGTGAGTGTTCCTTGGGTCCAAGGGACCATGGAGAAAGAAATGAGAATAAGTGACTTGGAGGGTTAGTTTGACATGAGTATTGTGACTACCCCTTACAATGCCTTAGAGACAAGATGTGAAGAGAACTGGCAATGGCCTCACCTGCCCTGTTGATTACCAAGTCTGTTTTGTCAAATCGGGTTGATCTGATGGCTTCTCTGTGAGATGCTGTGGATTCTTTTAAAGTGTCTCTTATTCTCTCTCTCTCTAGATAGACAAAGTTCATTCTTTGATCCTATATGGGTGAGTGGCTGATGGAACTACCAAAACAATGATAATAATAAAAATAGTGTGATCGGTCTAAGCAGTGTTTTGCAGGCTTCTAAGGATGGTTCTAAGTAAGCCAGGAGAAAGTGATACATTGTAATTTAGGGACCCATGAGCTTAGCAGGACAAAGGAAACAATCACCCTAGTCATAGGCCCCAGGGATTCCAGCATCGTTATTCACTCTCCACTCTGCAGTGACTTAGGTGGCGAGTATCTCTGGGTCTGCACATGGCTCTGCCATGTGGCTGTGGGGGTCTGGCTTCTTTGATGGATGGGAGGATGATGCTCAGGGCTAGAATGCTATTATTGCCTCATCCCTCTCACAAGGAGATTTATACTTATGATTTACCTTTTTCATGAACATGGCAGAATTATTTTTTCTGGTTTTGTTTCTGAAATGTTCTTTACTGTGTCTAAATAAGCTGAGGCCACTTTTGGGAGAGGCTGATGATGTGAGCAGTAAGAAGGCATTAGTTCACTGAAAACTAGATGCACATTTAGGGAAAATAAAATCAAACTATTTGATTTTTAAAAAACTATATTCATTTACTGTATGTCTTGATTCCTATATACGCTGAAAAATTATCTTCATAAAACTGTTTAAAATAAGAGATGATGGGCTGGGTGCAGTGGCTCACACCTGTAATCTCAACACTTTGGGAGGCCAAGGTGGGCAGATCACTTGAGCCCAGGATTTCGAGACCAGGCTGGGCAACATGGTGAAACCCTGTTTCTACAAAACCTACAAAAATTATCAGGGTGTGGTGGTGTGTGCCTGTAATACCAGGAGGCTGAGGTGAGAGGATCGCTCGAGTCCAGGAAGTGGAGGTTACAGTGAGCTGGAGTGACAGCCCTGCACTCCAGTCTAAGGTGACAGAATAAGACTGTGTTCCCGCCTGCCCCCCCACCCCAGCCAAAAAAGAGAGATGATAAAAACTAAGAAGAAACATGGAAAATGTATAATGTTAAGATTAAATGAAAATAATTCGATGTCTATGCCACAAAATGATTATGACTAGAGGGAGTCACAGATGTACAGGGAAAATGACCACGGAAGAACCTGAATAAATGAAAACTTTTATTCAAAATTCTTCAAAACAAAATAAAGAAAAAGACTTGATTGCTAAAGTCTCTGGGCTATGTAGCAAGAGCAGGAAGTTATTTGCCTAAATCTGACCATTTTTTTTGTGACAAGAGTAAAGTTTCATTCCTCAGTTCCTTGGTCACACAGACACTGTGATGGTCTTGTTTAGATGGTCATCATATTCAGCAGATTTTTCCTCCTATTTGTGGTCAGTTAAGAAAACAAGCATTTAGGCTGGGCGCAGTGGCTTACTCCTGTAATCCCAGCACTTTGGGAGGCCGAGGTGGGTGGATCATCGGAGGTCAGGAGTTTGAGACCAGCCTGGCCAACATGGAGAAACCCCATCTTTACTAGAAATAGAGAAATAAGCCGGGCGTGGTGGTGCACACCTGTAGTCCCAGCTACTCAGGAGGCTGAGGCAGAAGGATAGCTGGAACCTGGGAGGCAGAGGTTGCAGTGAGCCAAGATTGCACACTGCCCTCTAGCCTGAGCAACAGAGGGAGACTACATCTCAAAAAGAAAGAAGGAAAGAAAATAAGCATTTAATCCAGAATTTGCATTTAATACCAGAACGATTTTATTTTTCACAGCCACCAATGGTAAAGTTACAATAATAACTGTGTATGAAGTAAGAAGTACTGGCTCTAAGTCAACTTGTTTAATCCCATACAACCTAATGAGGTATATATAACTCTCTGGTCACTCCCACCTCCCAAATGTGGCTTAGGAGATGTTAAGAAATTACCTACATGGGCTGGGCACAGTGGCTCAAGCCTGTAATCCCAGCACTTTGGGAGGCTGAGGTGGGTGGATCACGAGGTCAAGAGATCGAGACCATCCTGGTCAACACGGTGAAACCCCGTCTCTCTAAAAATACAAAAAATTAGCTGGGCATGGTGGCATGTGCCTGTAATCCCAGCTACTCAGGAGGCTGAGGCAGGAGAATTGCTTGAACCCAGGAGGCGGAGGTTGCGGTGAGCCGAGATCGCGCCATTGCACTCCAGCCTGGGTAACTCCATCTAAAAAAAAAAAAAAAAAGAAAAAAAGAAATTACCTAGATAATTAATTAGTGGCAAAAAGAAAAAAAAAATGCAGACCCAGACAGCCTGACTCCAGGGTCCATGCTCTAAAGCAGAGGTCTGCAAACTTTTACCATAAAGGACCCACTCTGTATATTTTTTAGGCTTTGCAGGCCTTATGGTCTTATTGGAACCACTCAACTCTGCAGCTGTGGCAGGAAAGCCTCTGTAAGCGATATGTACAATGAATTGAGTGTGGTTGCGAACAGTAAAACTTCATTCGTTGTGTTAGATCAAGTTTAGCTTAAACCTGCCTCCTTACATATTTGAAGTTAAGCCTAAAGGTTTCTCTGTACATAGTGAACTGCAACCTTAATGGAAGTGCAAACAGACTGAAACCTATTCTTGTGCCAGTCACTGAGTTTGGGCCAATCAAAGGGGGCAGACTGTTCAAACTGTGTTCAAATAAGGTAAATGCCAAGATGCCAAGCTGTAGCCAGTCTGCCTGTTTCTGTGCCTCACTTCTGTTTTCTGCACATCACTTTCCTTTTTCTGTTATAAATGGTCTTCACCATGTGGCTGCACTGGAGTTGCTGAGCCTACCCTTGCTCAGGAGGCTGCCTGATTTGCAAGTCATTCTTTGCTCAATTACACTGTTAAATTTAATTTGGCTAAGCATTTTCTTTTAACAGCAGATATGAAATGCGAATTTCATGTAGTTTTTATGCATATGAGATATTATTCTGGCCAGGTGCAGTGGCTCACACCTGGAATTCCAGTAGTTTGAGTGGCTGAGGTGGGCGGATTAAGTCCAGGAGTTCGAGACCAGCCTCGGCCACATGAGGGAATCCCATCACTACAAAAAATACAAAAATTAGACATGTGTGTTGGCACACATATGTTGTTCCAGCTACTGAAGAAACTGAGGTGAGAGGATCACTTGAGCCTAGGGAGGTTGACTCTCTAGTGAGCTGTGATTGTTGTGATGCACTTCAGCCTGGGGGATAAGAGTGAGACCTTATCTTAAAAAAAGGAAAGAAAATAAAAGAGAAGAGAAAAAGAAAGGGAAGAAATGTTGTTTATTTTGATATTTTTCTTTATCATTTAAAAATATAAAAAAAAATGTTATCACAGGGTGGCGTGGCTCATGCCTCTAATCCCAGCACTTTGGGAGGCTGAGGCAGGTGGATCACAAGGTGAGGAGTTCGAGGCCAGCCTGGCCAACATGGCGAAACCCTGTCTCTACTAAAAATACAAAAATTAGCCAGGTGTGGTGGCGGGAATCTGTAATCCCAGCTGCTTGGGAGACTGAGGCAGGAGAATTCCCTGAACCCAGGAAGCAGAGGTTGCAGTGAGCTGAGATTGTGCCATTGCACTCCAGCCTGGGTGACAAGAGTGAGACTCCATCTCAAAAAAAAAAAAAAAAAATTCTTACCTTGCAGGCTGCACAGGAACAGGTGGAGAGCCAGAATTGGCTCTTGGGTCTTAGTTTAGAGAGCCAATCCCAGCTCTAAACTATGAGTGTCACCCCTTTGGGTGGGTTGGAAGGCTGGGGGCCTCCAGAAAAGGAGCAGCTTAACTAAGGAAGTGTGTGGTGGGGCTTTCCCACTGGAAGTCTGTTTGCATAAGGATTTGTGAGAAGCTCTTGGAAGAGAAGTCATGGGAAGAGAAGGACTCCAATAGTAAAAGCTGCCTAGAAATCAGAGGATCGGGGCACTTCTGAGAGCAGTGAATATCTGTGTTGGGGAATTCTCTACCGGCCTAGCCCTTCGAATTCTATTTCCAATGATAAGGACTATAAACAGCAAACTTGGCTGAATGCAATGTCTCAGGCCTGTAATCCCAGCACTTTGGGAGACCGAGGCGGGCAGATTAGCAGAGGTCAGGGGTTCAAGACCAGCCTGGGCAATATGGTGAAACCTTGACTTTACTAAAAATACAAGAATTAGCAGGGTCCCAGCTACTCAGGAGGCTGAGGCAGGAGAATCACTTGAACATGGGAGATGGAGGTTGCAGTGA